TCTCATAAGTATCGTTATTAAACATAACAATAATACTACAGCATTCAGCAATATATACAAACGTGTGCAGTTCCGCGAAGCTAAATTTTTCACGAATTTCTCAAGTCCATAAACTCTTTGTCAATTGACACATCCAAACAATTTATGCTACCACGAATTCTCTTCCATGTTATCGAGCAAAGAATTCTTCTCCTCTTTCTTAGAACCATTGGTTTCTGGCGCTGCAGCACGTAATTTTGGTTCGAAACATGGCTGTAAAAGATTAAAGTTTAAATACTACGAATCCGAATAAAATTCGTTTCAAAATTCTTGTGATGAATTGAGTATAGTGAGAATGATGAATCTTCTTGGTAAATTACAAAAAAGAATTAAATTTGTAAAATTTCAAGAAAAATCTTTATTTAAGAATTTTGATCTACAATGAAGAGCATTGATATAGATATGTTCTTCACTGTGCATGTGAATGAGAAATATATAAAGGCTATGTATAAAATACTTTAAGCTGCATTCACGAAAAAATTTTGCGTGATAAATGTTGCAATATTTTCATACTAAATTTCTTTTTCATGATATTATTTTATAGAAAGGTCAGGTCGGAACGACTGTTTCATATTAAAAAATTGTTTATTCGCTTAAAATGAAATGTTTTGATAATACAAGTTATTCATTAAATTATTGAATATTTACTTCATACTGCGGCACTTATTCACAATGGAGTATGATACGATGATTGTTTTGTTTTAATGAATTTTTGCATGTATTCAAGTATCATGAAACAATTTACACGTATGAATTCATGCGCAGCGATATATCAACCAGGACATAAGCGAAAGGTGTTACAATCAACTGCTCAAAATCTTTATTATGATAGCATTGAAGTTAGTAAAAAATAAATATGCAATTGATGTAAATTATTTAAATATTCCAAATTAAGCATTTATTTTTTCTACTATAGCTAAGTAATAAGCATTATCAATTTAAAAAAAATTGAAGAACGTCAATATCATAATTTCTGCTCTTATTTTGCAAAAAAGAAACAATTTGCTTAATTGAGATTCATATTTGAATATATATATATATATATTTTTTTTTAATTGATTCTTTTTTCATTTTTAATGAATTCTTTTTTCCTTGAATATGTACGTAGCTACAGTACATATCTTACATTGTCAATTCATTGCATATATATACATATTATATGCCCATAGCATGCACATAAATAATATTTATATTTTAGCTGGTGGATCACTCACAGTTTCACAGATATTCATGTTGCAGCAGTTCTCTATGGTTATTTCGCACTGATTGTCCGACAGTTGCGGCCGAGACGTAAGTGGCGTCACACCACCTTTGCTGACGACAAAACGCTTTTTAATGCGTGGCCGTTTTCGAAATTTATTTACATAATAACTAAGTACGGCTATCACGAAAACAAGTACTCCAACAATTACACTAAGAATTGGTAGTATCGTTCTGTATTCATTATCCTCGTTAGCTGTCACCATTTGTTGTGGTTCTTGATTTCCTTCGGCGCATCTGTCAATAGAAAATAACGAGGATCCATTAGAAATAGAGTCTATTCTTCAAAATTTAATTGTAACCTTTAAATGGCACAGTAGTTTCATTATCTTGCTAATTAGACAAACATTTACAAAGATAATCTTGCACATATTTATGTGCTGTTTGTTGTTTGAAAAGCTAATCACAAATTCTGATGTGAAATGAATAATCATTTTAACTAAACAGACAGAGAATAGGAATGTAAAACTGAGTGAAATTACAAAGCCAAAAGCGACGTACCTGCAGTTAGCAGTGGCAACGCTAGTAGGAACTGGCTCGGTGTTCATACAAAACACCTCGCAAATTTCAGTATTGTTAAAAATCTCGCAACGAGCTCCCTTGGAATATTTACATTTACAAACTGGTTTCTCATCTTGGACGGAACACTGACCGTCGTGCAAGCAATAGTCCTTGCACAGGTCTGTTTCACATCTTGGTCCGATAAATGTGTCATTGCACTTACATGTGGGTAATCCGTCACTGTTTATATTACAACTGCCACGGAAGCAGTAATTGTGACAGAGATCTACATGGCAATACGTTCCAGTGAATCTAAAAAACAATTGATCTTACATTCAGTGGATCCTTACTTTCGAGAAAAGTCGAAACTAGAAAACAGAGATCTAACGTACCCAAGTTTGCACTGGCATTTCCCTTCATTCTCGTTGAAGCAACCATCATTCAAGCAGGAGTGGAATGTCTCGGTAGTTGGTTCCGATTCTTCCGTACTGGTTGTCAAATTGTACGACGTTTCGTCGTGTTTCGCCTCCGTAAAACTGGCTCTTGGTTCATTCACACAGGCCGAGCAGTCTGCTGCTTTGACGATGTTATCACGCGTGACGATACCAGCCGGCTCGGCATCGTGATTCGACTGGTACGAACGAAATTTACTCGGCAGATCTCCAAATTTTACCTCTTTTGGTATAGTCCAAACGGCTCTGTGCACCAAATCGGACCAATATATCGAGTCGTTGTCCAACGCCAGGTGCACTGGTTGATGACCCTTAGGGTGAACCAACAGCTCGCGCTCGCTACCGTCGAGATTGCTGCGCTCCATGTTGATCCTCACGCCCTCCGCATCGTCGATCCAATACAGCTTCTTGTTGCTGTGATCTATAGCGACCGCCAACGGCTCGTATAAATTCTCTTTGATCACTGTTACTCGATTCCTTCCATCGAGATCCGACCGCTCGATACTTGGATTCGTATTATTGCTATTTGCCCAGTATATGTGACTGGAAACAACGTACAATTATCAAACATTCGCGCCTCATCCTACGTCGCCTGTCATTTTCTTTTCTTTTTTTTCTTTTTTTTTTTT